ATTTTAGCTTTATTTTCTTATTAGGAAAAAAGAAAAACTCAAATATATATAATATCTTTATATAATCTAAAACTATTCTAATTTACTCTTTATTTTAAAATATATTTAAAAGAAATTCTTATAATCTCGAGAACCTTTAACTTTATAACTTATAATTATTATACTAATAATATCTTTATAATTTATTAAGAATAATAAAATAGCTAAAGAATAAATTTCTTAAGTTAGTAAAGTATAATAGCTAGTTCTTATAAGCTATAGTATTATTAAAAGCCTATAGATTAATAATATTAAAGTTTAGATTATTAAAGAAACTTAAGTAATTATAGAAAGCTTACTAATACTAGAAAAGATAGTTATAATTACTAAATTTAATACAAATATTCTAGATAAGCTAAGTAATATATATAATAAGCTTTTAAAGTAGAAAACTTTTATTAGAGATAGAACTAGACTAGAATTAACTAAGAAGAAGCTAAAGAACTACTAAACTAATAATAGGGAATTCGAGAATATTATTAAAGGCATTTCTAAAGGCAGATAAAAGAAGCTTAATAAGATTAAGACTATAATAAATAGTCTAGAAACCAAGAATTAGAATAGAATTATATTATATAATAAAGCCTTTAGCTAATATATTAATAATATCTATAATAACCTTAGTAAAAACATTTATAAAAAGTTATACTTTCTTTTTAAGATAAAAGCTTTAGTATATAAAGCTATTTAGTTAATTAATAAAGCTATTTTAGAATATATTAAGGATAAGAAATATTAGAATACTAGTATATTTACTAAAGTAAATATTACTAAGGTATTTAAGTATACTAAAGCTATTTTAGAACCTAGAGAATTAGAATTTAAGCTATTATTAGCTAATAATCTTAAAGCTAGATAATATATCTTTAATACTTCCGGAATTCTAATTAAGGAAGTTTATAATAATAAGCCTTTTCCTGCTTTCCGAAATAAGTCTAAAGAATAGGCCCCTATTATAATTTTAGCTTTAACTTAACCGGATCTAGCTAAGAAAAATAGAGCTAATTTAATAAAGCCTAGTAAGAAAACTACTAGTAAATCTAGCGGAACTAGTATAACTAGATAAGAAGAACCTAATAAGAATAGAGAGCAAGCTAAGCCTAAAACTTCTAATAAATAATAAAGATCTAAATACTAAACCAAATATAAGATTAGTAAAATAAAAGAAAGTAAGAAGAAATTCTTTATTCTAAAGAGAAAAATACTATCTAGAAAGATTCCCATAACTATACCCAGAACTAAGAAGCGGAAAATTAAGAGTATTAAGTCCGGAAAACTTAATAAAGGCATTTAGTATATTTATAAGATACTAGCTAAATAGAAGTTAATACTTATTTAGTAAAATAAATATATTTTTAAAAAGATATATAATAGTATTTTAGGACCTATCTATAAGTAAGAATACTATAAGGTTAATAATAGATTCCTTAAAGCTTCTTATATAATATATACTTAGTAATTTACTAATACTTTCTCTATTAATATACGAGAGATCAAGAATATTCTAAAACTAGTTACTAAAGGCAAGAAATATATTTCTATTACTTGAGTAAATAAGAAAATATAGGATTTCTTTTTTAAGAACTAGGAAATTAAGAAGTATAAATATAAGTATTATATTTCTAATTAATTCCGCTCTAATCTATAGCTCTAATTTAATACTATAGTTCCTATTCCTGAATCTAGTATTACTAATCTAGATATAAATAGCTATATTTATAAAAAGAATTACCTAAAATAAATTAAGAAGCTTAGTATTCGAGAACTCTTAATAAAGAAAATAGAGATACTATAATTCTATTTCTAAAAAAATAATATATTAATATATAAAGATCTTAGTAATAGCTACTTTATCTTAGCCTCTTAACTTTTAATAGCAGATCTATTAATATAGCTCGGATTTTACGAGGTATTAAGTAAGTATTCTATTTACCTAGTTACTTATCCTTAGCTAGTCTAATACTTTATTTCTGGAAATATTAATTATAATTAGTATAAAAGTAATACTAAAGATCTAGCTATTACTAAAGCTTTAAATAGTAAATTCTATCTTAGTAAAGAGTATTAGAATATTAGCTATATTTTTCTTATAGACTATAAAAAGGCTATTACCTTTAGTAAAAAGTTCTTTAAAAATATTAATTACTTTTCTATTTCTAATAAATTTAAGCCAGAAATAGCTAAAGAAATAAGCAAGTATTTACTAAAGATAATAGGAGAAAAGACTTTAAATATAGTCTATTTAACTAGATAAATAAATGCTTTTAGCTAAATAATTTATAAATCTAGAATTATAGGAAAGTATTAATTCTCGAATAATATATAAGTTAAAAGATAGCTTAATAATAATTTACTACTTAATAGGCCTTTTATTATAGTTCTAATAAATCTAATTACTATTAAGAATAAAATATATGAAAATGAAGTCTCTTATAAGATTATTAAAATCTCTTATCTAGAGCTTTTCTTTCTTATTAAAGATTAATTTAAGAATATTATAAATAATACAAAATTCAAAAAAGCTATTTATTTAGAGTATATTAGTGCGATTTATAATATGATTTACTATAATAAGCCTCCTTAATACCCTATAGTAAAGGCAGAAATTAAGTAATAATTAAAGGCAAATACTAATTAATATAGAGAACTATATTGGATTTAGTATAAGAATATGGCTAAGCAGGTTCGGATTATCTTTAAGCAAGTTCGGGAATATAAAATAAGACTATTTAAGAATAATAAGTCTTATTTTAGGTATATAAAAGAGAAATTAGATTAACTAATAGAGAAGAATCCTAAATATTTTATTATTTCGGACTTGAAATAAGATTTTTCTATTATTTTTAGTACTTAGGAAATAAGTATAAATAAATAGGAAATCGGATATAATATAGCAGGCTATACTTATTAAAAATCATATTATTTTAGTAGTTTTAAGATTTAGGTTATATAATAAATGCCATGGCCTTTTATATATAACTTGCGGAAATAATATAAGAAAGCTAGTTTTTCTATAGACTTAGAAAATAATCTCTTATAAGTATTTAATTAATTAAGCTTTTATATACTATATACTATTTATGCTTTTAATTTATTATTTTACTATTAAGTTATATTTTGTATTCTAGTATATTTTATATAGGTTTTTGTCTTATTATAGTTTCTTTTTTATAATAAGCTTATATTTATTAATTAATAGCTTTTATTATAGCCTTATTTTAAATCTAATATTACTTATTAAATAATAGTAATATAGTCTTTAAAATTCTTAGCCTTTTCTATTAATATAAAAGCTATATAAAACTTTTTTAAAAAACCGGATTTCAAAAATAATTATTTAATCCGATTTAATTATAAAACTTTATCTATAATTATAAGATTATATTTAAACTCTATATAATAGACTATAAAAGGCTTATTATTTTACTCGAATATTATTATTTATTATTTACTATTATTTACTTTCTTTTATATAATTAATTATATAGCCCTAATATTATCTTTTATTAGTCTATATTCTTTATTTATAATATAATTTATAATAGGGCTTTTTCTTATAATCGAGAATAATAGTACTAAAAATAAATAATTTTTTTATTATTTTCTATATTTATTTATAGCTTAGCTTATAGCTATATAATCTAAATAAAGTATTTCTTTTAGAAGCTATTAAATATAAATATATTAGATAACTAATTATAATAATAATCATTTTTTATATTAAGCCGAGCTTATAAGATTTATATAAGGCCCTTAAGGGCTTGAATTTATTTTAAGAGAATATTAGCTATTAAAAAAGTAATTATTAGCTATTTAAAGCCATTTTATTTTATTTAAAAGAAATTCAATAAAATTTTAATAAAAAGCTAAGAACTCCGAGAGCTACTAGTATATAATAATTTAATTAAAAGAGTAATTTCTAATATTATAAGCCAGGTTTTTATATAAAGAAAACTAGTAGTTTTAATATAAAAAGAAATAACTAAAGAAAGAAAAAGAGAATTTTATTCTTATATAAACTAAATATATATGGGCTATATATTATATACTCTTATAGCTATAGTAATAAAGGTTATATAACCGAGTTATATAATTGAATTCAAATTACGGGTTTAATTTATTACAGATATATATAATAAGCCTTAAGAATTAAAGGTTTATAATTATTATTAAGGCTATTTAGGCAAATAGAAATAATCTTTCTCCTTTTTTTATTATTATTTCTAGGTAAAAGATTATAAAGAATTAAATTATACTAAAGCTTATTAAATAAAAGAAAAAAGCTATTATATTAACTAATTATATTAATAATAAAGTAGCCCTATTATACTTTAATTACTTAATTTAATACATTTATATAGGGCTAAATAAGCTATAGAAAATACTTTTTCTTAATAATTACAAGTTTTTATAAAATAAACAAATTTTAATTAAAGGCTAAGCTTAATAATATTTGCTTATTTTTAAGTCCATTTTTATATTTTTATAAGATAATTATAAAATTTAACTAAAGTTTAATAAGTGTCTTAAATTTTATATTAAACGCTCTATTAGTTCTTAAGTTATTAAGTCGTGAAAAGTGGGTGTTTTAGGTGTGAAACGCGTGTTTTGATACGGGACGTGTTTTGGTGCGGGGCGTCGGTTATCGTTCCACTCCAGCAGCACTGTATGGAGGCTTGGAAGAACCTGCCAACTCCCATGTCTTTCCTCCTGTATTGTGTCGCGGTGCAGTAGTCGGGATCCTTGCATTTGCCGTGAATTTCTTTGAGCTTCTTGACGATGTCAGGGCATTTTAGCCTCTTCGCTGGCTTGATCTGAAGGAGGTTCCTCTCGATGAGTTTGAGCATGTCGAACAGGAAGGGGACTGCACTTTATTTCTTTTCGCAGAGCCTCAATGTGCTAATTCGTGAGAAATGAGATTAGTTTTCTTTCTTCGTTTGGACAATCTAGGAGGCTGACCTTTATAACTGCCTTCTTCTCTGCCACTCTCGACCCACGCCAACCGGACTGATTGTATAAACTGAAGAAGGGTCTTCTGTAGTCGAAAGTGCTATTTCGGGAGACCCAGCTACCCGCTTATCCTCGAAGTTCTTGACCTTTTTGGCTCCGAGCATGTACCATGTGACAAACTCCAAGAGAACACACCCCAGAGACCAAATGTCGTATGATGGCGATATGAGGTTTGAGACGTCCCATTCAGGAGTTCGGTATGCGTGAGTCAAGCCCCCGATGTTCCCCGCCGGGACAAGTGCCCACTGTGTGCTGTGAAAATCGGCTAAACCGAAGTCGCAAATCTGTAGGACACCGGTTGGGCCACCCAAGCCGTCACAGCCGGGACCTTTGAACCACAGAATGTTTTCTGGTTTGAGATTGCCGTGCCTTCCACGGTTATTTTCTGTGGATCCGGGAACCTCTGGTCAGTGAATCATTTGCAAACCCTCGGCAAGGACTAGTATCACTTTACTCACCCATCGAGCTAGAGAGTAGTCGCGTGGAGGGGTTTCAGCTCCCGGATACTCCTTTATCCAAAAATCCAGCAGGTTTGAATCTGCCCAAGGAAATACCAGGTGGAATTGTTTCTTGTGCTAAAATGCACACAGAAGCCGGGTCGGACGATCTTGGTCTTGATCAGCGAAGCGCTATAGATTCCTAATCTCGGCTTTGCATTCTTCCACTGGACAATTAATGCTGAGACTCTTGAGAGCGCAGAAGGGGTTAACACCTTCCTGATTCTAGAAACATGTTAGTAAGAGTCGGCATGACTCGAAAAGGTCGCTCAGAAATAACCCACATGAAGATAATGCTTTTGATAAGCTATATGGATCTTTACCCTTCGTACCGCGCAGGTCCCTCCCATAATTGGATCATTATCAGGCACCCACTTCTCGATGAACGGTAGTATTATTTTATCGTGTTCCAGTTTCTCATGACCGGTATTACTGCTCAAGCTGAAACAAGGAGAGAGCACTTGCCACTGATAGTATTGATAAAATTGAATGCGCTTCGCAGCCGACCACTTCCCATGGTGGTCTTCGAAGTTCCTTATGCGCTTTAGTTCATCTCCAACATAGCGATACAGGTGGCGTTCCGTATTGTTGCCGGCTTCCAGAAAAAAAGGGAGGTGACCGTCTTGGACGCCTTCGTCGACTAGGGCTAAAATCGTCGGCAATTCGTCCATCATGGCCAAGATAATAAAGAGTTTGCTTGTGCTCTCGCTGATCGTATCACAGAGTGATGCGTGATCCCGCCGGATGCTGAGCTTATTTTCCGTGCCACAGTCGACTGCGTTGAGCGCCTTCTGGACGATGCTCCTTTCAACAAACTCGTGTAACCTGTCTATGGGCACAAATTGCATATCCGTATCTGGCCACACGGACTTAGCCATCTCAAGTTGGATTTGATCTCCCAACCTGTTTAGTTCAACCTCTGTTCCTCTGTTTTCATCCCAGCATCTCATTGTTGCTCTCCTTGATTGCCGTTGCTACTTCTAGAACTAGAGAAGTAACTCGTATTCGAGCTCACGGGTGAGAGCGAATCAGACGCTGAACCAGATCTTGTACTGCTGATCCTCAGCGAGGGAGACTCAAGGTCACCAAGCGTAGATCCTTCACGGCTTGGAATGCCAATTTGAGCCTGCTATTCTGTGTCTTCACTATTGCTTTCCATAGTGCCTTCCGATTTGTGGCGGCTGACGTGTAAACCGGACTTGTCCCAGATGTTCTCTTCCGGGACCTAAAGATTATCCGTCAATTTCTTGCTCTAAACAATGCCAGGAAACTAATCCAGAACTTGCGGTCTCTCTTGTGGCATTAGATTCCGGGTACCGTTGTTGCAATTCTGGTTCGGACATTCTGGTGATGACGGGGCTGCATTTGACAGCATACTTCGGGGTTGAGGCTGTCGCTAAGCTGCTGCTTGATACAGGCAAGGTCGATGTTGACTCAAAGGACGAAGATGGTCGGACGCCGCTGTTATGGGCTGCTGCAAGCGGCCACGAGGCCGTCGTCAAGCTGCTGCTCAAGAAGGGCGCGGAAGTGGGGATAGAGAACAGAGGTGGATGGACTGCCTTACAACTAGCTGCACTCAACAGACATGAAGGGGTAGAACAGCTCTTGGTGATACATGGGTCATCTGAGCCAGAAGACTTTTATTGGCTTCAACAGCTGTTTTTGGTAGAATAATTTGTATTATATACATTTTATAACTTTAATAAAGAGGGGCTTGGGGCAGCTAGAGTTTATATATTGTACTTCAGATATTAAAATGCTACCATTGGGTGATTTTGAAGGTGTTGGATAAGTTAACCTAGAATATTCTAGAAGCTTCATTTTTACTCTTCTGGCCACCTGGTTATAATAACTTACTACTGTATAGTACTTATGCTTATTATAAAAACCGTTTGCTAAGGCTTACCTTTCTGGAAGTTTGTTAAAGATCTATATCCAGAATCCTTACGCTATACTAACTGATTTTAGCTAGCCAGATTCAAGACCCTTGCTTGACGGGGGGAAAGGAAATTTCTAAGTGCGCGTGGAGGCAAGCTGGTTTTGAGAGCGACATACAAGAAGCGGGGACGACGGGTCTAACCTGATTCGGGAGTATGCTGCGACGCTAATTATGCTGCGAGATCCGGCGATATGGGGGCTTGTAGAGGGGGCAGATATGGTAAGACGGTCTGACCTGACTTCGAAAACTTTATGCTACCATTGCGCTACTAATAGCGTGAAAATTCCTCTAAGTATAAAGTTTTTATTACCTAGCTGAGGTATTTGGAGGATTGCACTATATCTGGCCCGACATTTTTCACTATTAGCAAGCCACTTCCGGCTGAGAGAGTAATTAGGCTCAAGCAACCTGTTATACTATATAAATGTATCCTCTCCTGTCGAATATATTAGCATGATTAGTCAATGCAGTATAGCCACGAAGTCGGTCTCGTAGGGCTCAATGCCTGCATCTCAAGGGGTATGAATTCTAGCTTAGGCATATTCTCAATTATACGAATCTCTTCTAGAGAGTAGGTACTACGTATACTAGGTAAGTAAATCCCGCATAAAGTATCCACGCTAAACCGGTATAATATTAGCCACAATTATAAAGAGGCTTAGCATTATATCTTTAAGCGCATTACTTATGCTTGCTACGTCGGCGTTATAATTGGCCCAGCTATTATTAGTCTCAGTTTGATCATTAATCACCAGATTTGATACGGTTATGGGTCTTTTTTGGTATAGAGGACCAAAATCTTACTCGGTTACAGGGTTAGTCTTCCGTTAATATGACTGCTCTCGCTCGACCCAGTAGATCCCGGAATGCAAGGTTTTCTGCCTGTCTTATTTGCTGGTCCAGGGTAACCCTAGCTTAAAAATGGATTTTAATTATAAATTAAAAATTGAAGTTGAGTCCGAAATAAGTATCTGTATCAGAATTCTCCCTTTGCTGCTGCGGCCTACATCAGACGGCAATATGACAGGTGATTAAAGCCTGCCTGATAGTTTAGTATTTATAATCAAGTCAGCTCTAGCTGGGTTTGGAAGGATTATTCCAAATTGCATAAATAGCATGCGCTAATTGCAGGGTCGTGATCCTGCAATCTGCGTTAGAATTTGTCTTTATTTCCGCTTTAAGGGTCTTCGATGCTTTCATAATTACCCATAGTAACCGCGTCTGCATCGTCGGCCGACTATGGCAATCAAGTCAGCCCTCAGTAATTACCCACAGTGACCAGGTCTGCATTGTCGGCCGACTTTGGTAATCAGTTAGCAATTCTCATAATTATTAATATACCTCAGTCCAGCTTACTTACTATCAGGATTTAGCTCTCTTTACGAATATAAAATACTTGAAACCTGCTCTCAAAAATTTCGTTCTCCAGAGGAATAGATTAACTTACCTTTTGGTTACTACTTAGTTTTGATATCTCTATTTTACTTTCACAACATTCAAACTAAAATATTCTGCTGTACAAATATCCTCCAAACGTATGTATAAGATAAAAGTATAACCCTGCAAATCGTCTCTTGATAATATTAACTCAATCTTTTCTAACGTTAAAAGAAGGTCATTAAAATGCATTTCACAAAGCTCGTTGCTCTTCTCTCGGCGTCTTTTACTGTGCCCGCCCTGGCGCTCGAGGCGTTCGCGTATCCATGCACCAACTGTAAGTGCAACGGGGCTACTGTGGTCGATATTGGCCCCAACGAGCAGAGTGGTTGTGTGAATATCAACGTTGGCTTTGGTCCTGTTGCCATAGGGTTGAGTGGATCTTCCCTTGATAAGTGCACGCTTTTCGATTCAGGCGACTGTTCGGGTATAAACCAGGTTGTCGGCATTCACAGTGGTCAGACTTTTGGTTGCACTGGCAGTCAGATTGGGAGCTTTGGCTCTATTTCATGCGCGTCTGGCTAAGGAGCTTGTCTAAAGTGTTTTGATCTATTGGGATCGAACAAGGTATATGACTTGAATGGTCAAGATTAGGGATATTCTATAACAGTTGAGAAGTTATAAGATAGTTATATACCTTCCTTTAAATATATTATCTTATCCATTTGACCTGTGCTTAAATTATTAAAGATTAGAATATGACTTTATAAAACGGGGCGATAAATCCTTCCTTGCTTATTAAGATGCCTGGCATTTTGTGTACCTCTCACTTTTGTTCGGATAAATCCTGCAGGCAGGTTTCCTTGTACTCTGTGTCTTCAAACCTTGGAGCTATATTTGAACTTAATAGAAACTCTATGCCACGGCCCCGAATTTTGGGGACAGGTCGATAGTCATGATAGAGCAAGGGGTAATAGCTACAGCAGCTTTTGACGCTCTCAACAGGACGATCGACAGCATAGCCAAACTGCAGTATTTTTCTGACTGCAAGACAACCCCTTGTAGAGAAATAGCTAAAGAATAATAACAAACTGATTTTATATATTTACGTGGTGGAGATTTAAGACCCCCAAACCATGAAGTCCTTTCGGCACACAGGGTTTTTCGGCACGCAGGGATGGACGTTAGATGTGATGTAAAGTTGAAGGCCACGTGCTTTGGCTGGCCCCTTTCTTTTGCATTACCTTTGTTTACACCCATTCAATGTTAAGAATTTTGTGGCTACAGTATACTCGAGAAGCAGAATTTCACGGGGATTTTTGCCTTGCAGGGATTCCGGTTGTTGTAACTACACTATAACCTCGGGGTGTTCATCACAACTCCACTCCCAAGTCAAGTGCATTTGATTTATGGTGCAATTCTAAGGACCTACTAATTAATTGTGTTACGGATCTGCTATATGAACAGCACATTTTGTTCATATTAGCTGCCGCTTCCTCTGGAATCCGTCGTCATTGTTCTTGCGCTTTCTCTTCACACCATCCCGCCTACCAAAAGGTAGTCCTAACCCTTGTGCTTCTATTAGCCAGTCAACCGAAAATAGAGAACCGCTTATGTTGTGGGACTCCGAGCCGCTTTCTTGAAGATGGAGCGAGACTATGTCTCGTGTACTAGTAACGTCGAAGTACATCCGCTTTCTAAAGCTCCCGTCTCTTGCTAAAGATGAGCGATCGCGAATGCGGCCTGGAAGAGCGCGATATCTGAGGAGAAACTTCGCCGATGACCTTGTCAGCCGTGCTAATAATGCTTCGTACACAGGAGTGCAGGCTCGGTGGCAACATAAAAGATAACCAGTACATAAATATCGGCCATTCTCTTTTCTAGGAATGCTCTCCAACTCGAATAAAAAATCTATGCAATAATGAAATGCGCAAGCCGGTCCAATTTCTTAGAGTGAAACACGACTTCCTGTGCGAGGATCTTCATTTCGGGAATCTTATTGGATTATCGAGCCTTGGATCCCGGGCGTCAAATTCAATATTAAACCGATAATACGGCCCCCGTCTTCTCTTGTTCCCCATCTTCAGGTCTTCCTCAAGACTGTCTCGTTCCTTTCTATGGAATGCGTCACAATTTTCTTAGCTATTAACAGATGACCGGAGTGCTCGGCAGCGCCTGAAGAACCACAAGTCCCTTTACCAAGAGCTCGAGCCATACATCTCAGGATCATGCTCTGGAACCTTGCCAGTACCTAGGGACACTTTCAAGGTAGATATTTTAGCGAAGAGATTATTGGGGAATAATGCTTTTATTTCTCTTAAAGCAAGCTTAATCGGATTATTATGTGTTATGCCCCCATCTCAAAACTTTCCAAGGCCCGAAATCTTTTTTGGGGTGAAAATCCTTTGGATATTAGTAATAATACCAAAGGCTAGATCGGCTATGCTTACCCTGGCACCGCAAACATATATCTCGCACTAGATTAGAATTAGTTAAGGTCTACTTAGATTTAATAGTATTATATCTCTCATACTAGGGCATTAATCTTTTTTAGATTTATTACTTTTAATAAGTTTTATATAATTAGCTATAGGTTAGGTTCTTTTTTATTTATATTTATAATAGCTTTAGGAAATATAATAAAAGAAACTAATAAAAAGTAATTATTTTCTAGTTTAGAAACTATATTAGAAATTATTATATCTAAGTATTTTTATCTAAATCTGGATATATTTGGGTTATTAGTAATATTAAAATAGTATTTCTTTTTTTTATATTAATAGAATATTATTACTTTTTTATATATCTTATTATATTTATAAATAGAAATATTTATAGGCTCAAAATTCATATTCTTAAGAATATAATTTCTGATTAAAATAGATAATTCCCTTATAAATTCTCGGTATTAAATAATTTTATCTATTTCTTTTCTCTTTAATAATTTCTTTAATATTTTATTAAATATATTAATATAAAACTTGGAAGAGATTTCTTTATTCTAAGCTTATATAATAATTTAATTATAAAAATCGCAGCTAATTTTAAATATTTCCTAGTTATATTCTCGGAATTCCTTTAATAAAGCCTTAAAGAACTTGGTTTTCTAATAATTTCCTGAATTATTAATAAAGTATTCTGGTATAACCTTAATTTAATTCTTATAAATAAAAGAAATGTAATAAATAATTCTTTCTTTTTTAGTATTATTTGAAATATAATAGTTCTTATATATATTTATATATTATTCTAAGAATATAGAAATATTACTTTCCTAAAACTATAATACTTTAGAAGTTCCTATAAATAATAGATTTAAATCCGGTATTAGTAATTTGTTTTTAGTTATATTAATCTTAATAATTTCTTTTATAATTAATTATAAAGTTTCTATATTTGAGATTTCTACTAATAAGGTTTCTAAAGAGCTAATTTTCTAATTTAGAAACCGGGATTTGGAAATATCTAATTAATAATAATAAAATAATAGCTTTTCTAGTTTTATTTCTATTATTTATATTCTCTTTTTTATTTTATTAGCTTAATATTTTTACTAAACTAGATATATTTAATAATAAAAATAATAAAAATAATTTTATTAATTTTACTAACTTTTCTGAATTCTCTTTTTTATTTTTATTTAATATTTTTTTATTTTTTTTAAAAGTCTTTTTAGATTATTTATATAATTTCTTATTTCCGATTTCTTTTTAATTTTTATTTCTAGTTTCTGTTTATTATTTTATTTAAAATTAATAATATTTTCTTTTTTTAAATATTTTTTCCGGATTTAAAAATAAGCTTTTTTTTAAAACTAATACTATTTTTATTATAACTAAAAATAATATATAAATTAATAATATAATTTTATTTCCGAATATTAAAGTTTATTTCTAACTAAGATTTAACTTATATTATTTTAGTATAATATTTCTTATTTTATTTCTTTTATTTCTTTTCTTTTTATAATTAGCTTCTATTTTTATTATATTTATATATTATATTAGTAATTATATCTTATAACTAACTTATATTTGAGTTATTTAATATATTAGAAATTAATACTTATATATTTTTAATATTTTGGCTTTAGGTTTAAAATATTATAATAGCTCTTTTTTTCTAAACTTATTAAGCTAATAATTTGCCTTATAGAAATTCCTTAGAACTTTATAAAAATATTACTTTAATTATAAAGTTTTAATTCTTTTTATATTACTTATTATAAAATATAAATAATATATAAAATATAAAAGCTTAATTAATTAAATATAGAAAAGAAATTATTATTTAGAATTATAGAAAAACTATCTTTTTTATATAATTCCTATAAGTTATATATAATTAAAACTTTAAAACTAGTAAAATTAAGCAATTTTAATAAAATATAACTTATTATATTATAATAACTTAAGCTTTTATTTATTTATAAAATATAAAGAAATTAATATTACTAGTATTATAATAAATTAGCCTAGAGATATTTATTTAAATTATTTCTAGATTAGAACTTTATTTAGATATATAAAGTATTAAAAAATAATCTTTTAAAAACTTATTTTATAATATTAAAAGTTTTTTATTATATTTATTTCGAGAATTATTTATATAATAATTCTTTTATTAAGTTATTAATTAATTATACGAGATTATAAACTAGAATATATTCTTTATTTCTTTTAGCTTAAGATCTTAATTTATAGCTTTAAAGGCTCTAGTAATTTATTTTTTAATAGCTTCTAATTTAGGTAATATTTTAATAAATTAGAAAATTAATAATAAAAATAAAAATAAAAATTATATATTATTTTCTTTTATCTAATAAATATACTAAATAAAAACTAAATAAGTCTAGCTAAATAAGTATTTAAATAAATAAAGATTTAATAATAACTAGATTAGATTTTATAAAGAAACTAATTTTATTAGGCTTTATTATTTTTATATTATTATTATTACTTTCTTTTTTATTATTATATTTTATATTTTTACTAGATTTATATACTAATATAAAAGCTTTAGAAATAAAAAATATATTTTTATTAGTTCTATTACTATTATTATAACTATATTCGAATATTTCCTAATTATTTTTTTTATTTTGAATTATAAGATTTATTAGAGAAATTATTAAGATTTATATTAAAAAATAAAAATATAATAAATCTAATAATAATTTTAATTACAAATTTACTAATATAAGCTTTTTTTATTATATTAAAAAAACTAGTTTAAAATTACTTTTATAATAATTAGCTCTTTTAATATATATATAAAAAGGCTTATATTAATATTTATAGCTCTTTTAAAAGCCCTAAATTCGAATATTAAAATTTAGATAAATAAAATACTATTTTATTAGCTTTTATAATAATTAAATTCCTGAAAAAAAATATTTAGAACTATTTAATTATTAATTAATAAATTATATAAATTATAATATAATTTTATATTTAATTTATAAAATATCGAATTCTTTTATAATAAAATTATTACTTTTTATTAAGGTTCTCGAATATATAAATATATAATTTTAAATTTTCTTATAAATTTCGGCTAATTTATTAATAAATTCTAGTTATTTA